TCATACTTAGTGCTTGAAAAGGGACAATTTCACAAAGCTGAGAACAGACATAAACTATATCAGCTATATAAAAAAAGAATTGAATCAGAAAACATATGAATAGGGTACTTTCAAGAGCATTTTACTAGATGCCCAAAAAGCTAGAATTCCACAACTGAGGAAAATGGCTATATTAATAAAGCTGACTTGGTTTACAGAGGGAATAAAGGCAGCTATACATATTACAAATTTTTAAAGATGGAAGAAAGAGGAAGTCAATAGTAATGAATATAAATCAGAAGCTAGGAATTGCAGAAAAATTAGTAAGCAAAATAAAAGGACACAAGAAGTCTATAGTCCACCAAGTTAAGGCCAATAAAAAGGAGGTGTTTTTTATGCATACTGGGAACAAAGAGAATCCTAGATATTGTACTGATTAATTATGGGATGGAAATAATAGAAGTCTCAATAATAATGCAAAAAAGGCATAAATGTTCAATTTAAAAAAATCTGTTCTCTATTTGGAGGAAAAACCTCCAGCAGCAACTAAAATTAGACATTTTTAAATCAGCAAGCCCAGATAGCTTTTTTTAAAATTCTTGGATACAAGTTGACTGAGGAGCTCAATGGACCATTAAAACTGAATTAAATGAGCCTCAGAACACTGGAATTCCTGAAAACTGGAAGTGAATATTGGGTCACTATTTAAAAAGAATAAACGGGATGACACAAATAAATATCGCCTGTCTTTCTAACAGTGATCACGGACAAGATAATAGAGTGGCTTGCACTGTACCCAATTCATAGAGAATCAAAGGAGGGTAATTTAATTAATGCCAATCAGAGTGTATAATATATCCTGTCAAACTAACTTGATATGTCTTTTTGATGAAATTACAAGTTTGGTGGATAAAAATAATCGTGTTGATATAATAGACTTACAACTCTATAATCTCTGACATGATACCACACAACATTTTGATTTAAACATTAGAATATTAAAAGATTAACATGGCACACATTAAATGGACTCAGTCTCAATATGTATCTGCAAATGGGGAATCACCATTGAACAGGCAAGTTTCTAGTGGAGTCCTGCAGTGATCAGTTTTTGTCTATGTTCTTTACCATTTTTATCAATGACTGGAAGAAAACAAATAATCACTGAAAGTCTGCCTATGAACTAATAACTGGGGAGAGATAAACAATGAAGGGGACTGGTAGCTGACACAAAACAATCTGAATCGCTTGCTTGTTTTCCCAGCTCACTAGCTGCTATTTTAATATGGCTATATGTAAACATACACGTCTAGAAACAAAAAACGTAAGTCATATTTATAGAATGGAAGAAACTCCATCCTTGTAAGCAGTGACTGTGAACAAGACTTGAGGGACATAGTGGATAATCAGCTGAACATGAGGTCCCAGGACACTGCTGCAGCTAAAAGCAATAATGCAATCCTTTAATATATTGACAGGGGAAACCTGCATAGGAGAAGATATTATTTTACCCTATTCTTGGCCCCAGTTTTACTCCGGCTGGAACTGTGTCCAGTTCTAGTATCCACAATTAAGGAAGGATGTTAAGAAGTGGAAGAGCATTCAGAAAAGAGACGAGACTGGTTAGAGATGAAAAAACATGTCTTATGGTGAATTAGTCTATTTAGCTTAGCAAAGAAAAGCTTAAGCGGTGACTTGATTACAGTGTATAAGTAATCTACATGGGAAACAAATACAGTACTCCTCAATGGGCTCCTCAATCTAGCAGAGAAAAGAAAATCAGAGTCCACAGGAGGAGAACAGGGAGTTTGAATTCCAAAGAATGAGCAATCAAATCAACTGATTGTATATAATATTATACTACACAAGTGTATCAAGCAGTATTTTATTTGTATGAATTATTATTCTTGCTGATTATTATATTATACACGTACAGGAAGAATATAAAGAGTTATACATGTGCTGGAAATTTATGTTCCTAACATATACTCAATCCAAGCATAGCAGATAGCACTTTTTGCCTAGAACAAACATGTTTATTTTGCTTGCGTCTTCAACTAGGGTTGATAGGTGTCTGGTATTGACCTGGACACACTGGTATTTTCGCCTCCTGTCTGGTAAAAAAAAAAAAAAAAAATCAGAAAATATCGGACACCTAAAATGTCCGGTATTTTGTTTTTTTCCCCTGCCAGGAGGCGAAAATACCGGATACCTGGCAACCCTATGACACTCAACAATGGGTCCCCCCCTCCCCCGCTTACCTGGTTCCACAGGGAAGTTCCCTTCTGGCTCAACCAAGAAAACAAGATGGCCGACAGTAAAAAAGCCTAAAGACCTGAGCAAGAGGAAGCAATGCCTTCCCTGAGTCTTAGGCTACGTCTACACTGGCCCCTTTTCCGAAAGGGGCATGTTAATTTCACAGGTCGTAATAGGGAAATCCGCGGGGGATTTAAATATCCCCTGCGGCATTTAAATAAAAATGTCTGCCGCTTTTTTCCGGCTTTTAGAAAAGCCGGAAAAGAGCGTCTACACTGGCCCCGATCCTCCAGAAAAAAAGCCCTTTTCCAGAGGATCTTATTCCTACTTCAAATCCTACTTCAAAGTAGGAATAAGATCCTCCGGAAAAGGGCTTTTTTTCCGGAGGATCGGGGCCAGTGTAGACGCTCTTTTTCTGCTTTTCTAAAAGCCGGAAAAAAGCGGCGGACATTTTTATTTAAATGCCGCGGGGGATATTTAAATCCCCCACGGATTTCCCTATTACGACCTGTGAAATTAACATGCCCCTTTCGGAAAAGGGGCCAGTGTAGACGAGCCCTTAGTGTTCAACCTCTCCTCTTTCTATCCCTATTCTGACTCTGCATGCACTTAAAGGGGCCGTGCTGTTTTAATGCTGTTTAATTTAATTTAATTATTTATTTTTGCTTAATAACTCTTGGGGTCTCTTCCGCCTCCTCCCACCCCCGGTTTTTCCCCTTCAACAGAATTTTTCCGTGGTGTTTTTTTTTGGGGGGGGGGAGGGGTGTTCGGTATTTTTGGTTAAACCATCTGGCAACCCTATCTTCAACACAAGTTAAACAAGGTAAGGGCAAAGATAATGGAAGCATATGGACAAAGGGAATCAATGGGAAAAGAAGCAAAGGAGGGAGACATTTTATCTAGGCATATACTTCAAAGGCATACATTTCAAAGCTTCAATGGACCATTAAAAAAGGGGAGGGGGAAAGAGAACTGTGAAAGTGTATTCTCTTGGACTGCAGGGAAGGAACTGCTGCTAACTAGCTTTAAATAAGAAACTGTTTTAGGCAAAGATACAGTTTTCTGGAATTTAAAATTTGAGTCACTAGGAAGCATGTTTTCTTTTGTTTATAAATGTATCTTTTTCTCTTAATATCACTTAAATCTCCGTTCCGAACTCCTAATCCAGTGGTCCCCAACGCGGTGCCCGTGGGCGCCATGGCACCCGCCGGGCCATTTATGTGCGCCCGCGGAGCAATCTGGGCTGGCCCTGGCCCCAGGCGGTCAGCAGGTGCCAGCCCTGGGCGCATGGGTGGCCCCTGCCCGGGGTATGCCTGCACGGCCCCTGCCCAGGGTCGCGGCGCATGCCTGGCCCCGCCCCAAGGCCCGTGAGTAGCCCCGCCCCCGTACGTGCAGCGCGTGAGCGGTCCCGCCTCCAGCAACCTCAAAATGTTGGGGACCACTGCCCTAATCATATTAGTTGCCCTTTTCTGAACCCTTTCCAAGGCCAAAATATCTTTTTTGAGGTGAGGAGACCACATCTGTACACAGTATTCAAGATGTGGGCGTACCATAGTTTTATACAGGGGCAGTAAGATATTCTGTGTCTTATTTTCTATCCCTTTCTTAATAATTCCTAGCATCCTATTTGCCTTTTTGACCACCGCTGCACGCTGCGTGGAAGTTTTCAGAGAACTATCCACGATAATTCCAAGATCTCTTTCCTGATTTGTCATAGCCAAATTAGCCCCCATCATACTGTACCTATAGTTGGGGTTATTTTTCCTGATGTGCATTACTTTACACTTATCCACATTAAATTTAATTTGCAATTTTGTTGCCCAATCACTCAGTTTGGTGAGATCTTTTTGGAGTCCCTCACAGTCTGCTTCTGTCTTGATTATCCTAAACAGTTTGGTATCATCCACAAACTTTACCACCTCACTGCTTACCCCTTTCTCCAGATCATTTATGAATAAGTTGAAAAGGATTGGTCCCAGGACTGACCCTTGGGGGACACCACTAGTTACCCCTCTCCATTCTGAAAATTTACTATTTATTCCTACCCTTTGTTTCCTGTCTTTTAACACATGTCTGCATTGCAGTAAAACAACCCTGGCTGGCCTGTGTAAGTGGATTCTGACATGTAGGACCAGGACTGTGGCTATAAAACTTCAGTGTAGACATCAAGGCTCCAGCTCAAACCCACAGTTGCTTATAGTTCTGGGTATGAGGACAGCAACTCAGGTATAACAAAATTCGTGTCTGGAAGCTAGTCAGACAAACTCAGACTGGAAAAAAAGTGTAAATTTTTAATAGCGGGGGTAACTAATCATTGGAACAAATTATCAAGAGTTGGGTTGGATCACAGGCAATTGTTAAACCAAGAATGGATGTTTTGTCTAAAAAAGTTATGCTCCAGGAATTAATTTAGGGAAGTTCTATAGCCTATTATACAGGCAATCAGTCTTACTAGGTGATCATAACAGTCCCTTCTGGCCTTGGAACCTATGAACTAGTCAGAGCTTGATGTGTGAGGATAGCAGCCAAGACAAAGAGAAACCTTAACAGAGAATGAACCAATTTTTGCAGTCCCAGTACAGGGAATTAGTGCTCCAGATTTTATAATCTACATGTTAAATTTTGTGGTACAAAATTTACAAACAACACAAGTCTGTAAGTCTTCAGAAATGTCGGCATAGAGATTGAAGACACAATTAGTACACTTTCTGAAGTATATAAGCACATGTAACACATTTGAACACAAAAATATGTTCAACACTTACAAATGATCGCAATTCTGTGAGTATGTTTGATATTGTTGCATTGGGGTCATCATATTCTTGAGGCTGTTCGAAGTGATGCCCAGCTTTCGTAATCAGCCAAGCAGCAAGAGTGCAAAACATGTAGAACTGCTCACCAGGATTAGTCGGCAATGCAAAGTAGTGTCTGTTTGAAAAGGGAAAAAAGTTAAATATGGGATTCTCTGAACAACTGAGAACCTTCAGTTATAGGGCAACACAGCATGGGAAAGCAGCTTCCTTAACAATTTGTGATAAACTATTCAAGCTTAGCAGTTTCTATCATAAATAAAATTACAAAATGAGATCACCCAAGTCACTGCTATCCATCATGTATATGACACAAAGAGAAGGACTAATTTCTAAGGGCATGTCTACACTAGGAAACTATTTTGAAATAACTAAAATTGATTTAATAACTCCCCAAATATCAAAACAGCATGTCCACACGACAGGGAAGCCTCAAATTTAGTCCAAGGCACACTCCGTTAACATGGACATGCTGTCTTGACTTAGAGCCCCAGGAAGCAATTAGTTCAAATTACTCTGGGAAATAGTTATTTCAAAATTAGCATTATTCCCCCAAGAAAGCAGAAGTAAATATTTCAAATAGTAGGCTGTTATTTTGAAATAACGGACTTGATATTGTGGATACTCTGCTTATAAATTCAATCTAAAAGGGGTTAATTCGAAATAATGCCCTATTATAGGCCAGGGCCAAGGGACTGAACGTTTTACAGGCAATTCACTTCTCCTGCCTCAAGTGAATGAGCAAGCCATCAAGTATGTCTTAACATGATAATCTGCAAGCTATTTTTAAAGCCCCTCCAGGAATTTAACAGACTTTGGTCCTTCCTCTCCAGCCTGCTCATGTAGGTTCCTCTCCAGCTTTCAATTACTCTGAACTGAATTAACCTTTTATTTACTCTTTATAAAATATAAAATTACTCTTCTACATCACACTCAGGCCCTTAAAATACAATGGGCTCAATTCTCTTCCCTCTTTGCACTGACTTCTTTAAATTCAGAATTGGTCCCTATTATTCTAAAGATATCACTATCAAGTGATCATCTTGCAAGAGTTTATGCAAAATGTTCCTGAAAGTAAATAATCTAAACAAGTAGTTCCCAACCTTTTTGAGCATATGGACACTTTTTCAATCAATTGAAATTTCACAGATCCCTCTCATCCTGAGGGAGGAGGAAGGAGGGGGAGGTGGAGAGGGAAAAGAAAAGAAAACGAAACTTTCCATGGACCCCTTGTAGTTCCAGACCACCAGAGGTTTGCAGAGCACAATTAGGGAACTACTGATCTTAACAGGACAAAGCATATTTTAACAAATCTGTAAAAGTTGTATGTATTTCACTGTGCCATCTTATGTATCATCTACAAAATGATAAAAAAGTGTTTTATTTTATGCATATTTGCATGTACAGCTATTTATAACAATACAAAAATTTAAAACAATATTTTAAACAATTATCAAAACTCATACAGAACTACTATCATTGCAATACTGCCAAACTGCACATAGAATAATATTCACATAAGTTAGAGTGAAAAATGAAAAACCACCAGAAATGGTTACTCAATTTGTGCCAACCTCACCCTTTTCCCAGCAGCTTATGTTTACCCAAGCAGCCTCTGATCTGTGACTTGCATCTAAGTACTTTTCCACAGGGAGTAGGAGAGCACATTAGAAGGGTGTATTGCCTTCCAGCTAAACACTGGACGCTGCTGGCATGCTCTAAAACAGTGTCTTGTTCATGTTAACATTGTCTGGTTTCAAACACAAACTAACAAAGTGCCTCCCCCAACTTTTAGACCTAGATATAAAAGTTAAAAATTGTTTTAAAAAACCTCCAAAATGTACACAAAAAAACCTCCAGGAAGCCCTTAATATACTGCAAAGCCCACATAAAATATAGCAGTAGCAATAAAATGCAAGGCACATAACAGTTCACCAGCATTACATACCCTTATTTCCGTCACCCGTGACCTTAGGATGAGATTATAGAAGTCATGTGTGAAATCCTTTGCCTGTCTGGATACAGCCCCCATAATAACTGGTGCTGCTTATGGTTGCCTGTATTGGACCTGCAAACCAGCAGCATTTTCAGTCTACTCCAAGTAAAAATGCTCTCCTGATGCCTTACAGGTGTTGTGCAATATGCAGCATGCTACTACGATATGGACAGAATCAGCAACACCGGCATTCAAGTGGTTTTGCAGACAGCACAGTCTTTCTCTGAGTCTGTCAAATGTGCACACCATCATCATTCTAAGTGTGAAACAATCTTCTACTGCCAGCATCTCTTAAGTTAAACTATGATTTAATGAGCCCGGGCAAGAAAAGCAGAATCTCCTAAACTTATTGGACATAGAGACCCCGTCACTTGGAGAAATAGCCCATGTTTGTCCAAAAGGGTAAATGCCTGTTCACCTCAGCACCCTAATACAATGCACTTTGCCAGTACACTCCACACTGGTGTCCATGAATCTGCCTGTGTGGTTGACCAAGGTCTGCATAAGTATGAAATAGTGCCCTATGCAGATGACATTCACTTGCTCCTTGGGAAGAACTATGGTCTATGAATATCATCAATGGACCTAGCTCTGTGTGGGAAATCGATTTCTTCAGAGTCAGCAATTATTTCAGTAAAATTAGAATTGTGATTAACCCAAAGGTGGGTGTAATAAGTTATCTCACAAACTTCTACAACTGTGAATGGCATGGAAAAACTGAGCAGGAAGGTGTCATTTCCATAGTCAGATACTACAATAACCAGGGATCATGCAATGACATTAACAGACAGAACATTTAAAACAAACACAAGGAGGTGCTTCTTCTATCCACACACAACCTGTGGAACTCACTGCCAAGGGATGCTGTGATGGCAAAAGCACAGCTGGGTTCAAAAAAAAGAGTTAGCTACGTTCAAGGACAGGTCCATTAATGGCTATTAGACAAGACAGTCACGGTACAATGCCACGTTTTGGATGTTAACTGCCAGAAGCTGGCAATGGATCACTTGATAAATACCCTAAACTCTGTTCATTCCCTGAAGTACATGGCACCATCCACTGTCAGATGTTCCATCTAGCTCAGCAGCTATAGATTTAAGCTGATTTGGCCATTTTTAAAGACACAATCCTCACAAGCAAAATGCCAACACCAAAATGGTTAGTAACAGACCTGTAGCAGTGTGAGGTAGCCAGCTTCTGATGGAACTAGCTACCTATTTCTTCAATGATATGGCCTCACTCATGTGCTTATCCCAGCACAGAATGGTCAGGGAAAGCTTCTCACACAGCTTCATGAATGTCTGCTTCCACATGTAAAATTTTCTGAAGCCACCGATCGTCTCCCAAGTCTTCATAATAATGCGATCCCACAAGTCTGGGCTTGTGGCCCTGCTCCCGAAATATGATTCTATATATAGAGAATCCATAGCTTTGGCTGGAAGCATCAAGTGCATCAAATGTGTTGCAAGTGCCTTGGTGGACCCTCTAAAAGCTGCTGCTGTCACCTTCCAAAGGACAGAAGCCAATGTTGAAATGTCACTAATCTCACAGACCTCTTGTGTGTGTTCTGCCACAGTGAAGCCACAAGCAAAAAGAGTTCTTCCACCATTACTGGACCCGTGGACTGTAAAAAGCTGGGAACACCCCACAGCTGGACATGTTGGCAGGCAAAGAAGACTGCCACAGAAGGACACAGAACAGACAAATTCTCTGGTGAATAGAGACCCTAAGATCCCCACCTGTACACCAGAAGCCCAGGTTTCAAAGACAGATCAATGCTCCACCAATGTGGGCAGAGATGGGGGGTAGGGACGGGGAGGGAGAGAGGGGTGTGTGCTACCTACTCACTCACAAGCAAGCCCTGGTCCCACATGCAGTTCCCTGGCCCATGCATACACTATGCAGAAGAAACATTCTTTACAACCCTGTAATTTACTGGTTCAGGGGTGCAAAGCCCCCCCCCCCCGCCCCCTC